AAAAAAAAGTGAAAACGAGCGAAAAAATTTTAAAAGTTTGAATTCGCGCGCTTTTTTTACTCACCGGGCGGCCTAGAAAAAACCTCGTCCCTAAGGGCTTTCATCGTATTTTTCGATGCGTTTTTCTCGATGAAGGAATTTTTTTGAATGTTTTCTTTATTTTTATGTCAATCTACATGCATTTCTTCACATTTTGATGCAATAAAAAATTTCACCGTGCACCACCTTTAAATTTTTTTACAGCAATTTTCAGCAGTGTTAGCCTGCAAAAGTCCAAAATTTTTTTTTCAACTTTTTTCACAAAAATTTTCAGAATAGCTTTAAAAACTCACAATAAGAATATGAAGGTGAAGAATCCGAGAATCATCTCGATGATGCCTTTTTGCTTCTTTTCGAGAACATTCCCGTCTGAAAAATGGAATTTTTAGAACTGAATTTTTTTTGAAAAAATATTTTCCAGCGATTTTTTGATAATTTCTAGGATTTTTAACCCAATTGCCATCGAAAATCTGTGTTTTAAACGACTCCAGACGATGAAAATCGATTTTCCCGGTTAAAAAATGGTTTTGCGAAAAAACTAATTTTTGAAGTTTTTTACTCGAATTTTTTGCTTATTTTGATCAAAAATCATTTTCTAAAACTCACCTTTATCGATATATGCCATTTTCTAGCGATTTTTAGTACTTTTAATAGAAAAATCCACAAAAAACGGCCTAGAAATAGTCACACGTCGACTAGTGGCGTCGCCGGGGTGTTTGCGGACACACGGCGACGCGCAAATGCACATGAGGCGGAAAAATGGAGGGAAATTTGAATTTTAAGCGATTTTTCGCAAATTATTGGCTTTTTCAGAAATGCATCGAACTGATTCATAAACTATCGATTCCAAATATCAAGCGACTGTTCCAAGTGATGCTTCTGATGAATGTTCCAAACATGAAATCGGCGAAATCGGTTCTTTTTGATATCGATGAAGTGATCAATCGATTTTTGATTTCTGTCAATGACCGGGAGAAGTTTTTGGGCGTTTTGGCGTTGTTGATGAAGATTCAGGTGGAGATGGAGAAGAAGTGGGTTTTGGAATTTTCGCATTTTCCAAAAAAATTCTTTCTGGCGCCAAATTCTAAAACTCAAATTCCCTTCCAGACACTCTGAAAACCAAGAGCTCCTCGTCCGGGAAGGAATCGCGCGCATCGAAGACGCCATCAAGACATCGTCACGTCTTCGTGGCGCCTTCTATGAACATCTGAAGCTCGTCCTTCAGCAACGAAAACGATCGGAGGAAATTCGATTTTTCATCGAGTGGTCCCAGAATTTATTGCAGCGATTCAAAGAGGATTTCTTTGAGTTTCAAGAGGAAATGGATCAGGAGTGTACGTGGATTCTCAAGCCACCGTCTGAACGTCTTCAGGAGGTGATTCCGATGTTTGAGCTGGTTTTGGAGATGGAGCATTTGAAAACGCGATGGAAGGAGGAGGAGGAGGAGAACGAGGGGATGGGAAATGATACTGTAGTCACTAAAGATTTGGATTTTGCCTTTGGTAAGGCAGAATGAGAATTTTTGGAAAATTTTGAACTGAAAAACTGGTTTTCAGCGATTTTTTTTCCATTTCTTCAGGCTAAAACACACAATTAAAGTTAGATATTCAAAGAATAATTCTTTATTTTCACTGAAAAATTCTTTTTTTTTTCGATTTTTCCTGGAAAATCGATTGGAATCATAGTTTTCCGATAGTTTTATACATTTTTACACCTTTCTCGCCGGCGATTCGACTTGAATAGTCTGAAATTTTTTCGAAAATTTTTAAATAATTTTTTTTCTTCGGAGCATCGTTGTTGGGAAAAAAATGAGTGGGAATTTGAAATTTCAAAATTGGATTTCACAATTTCAGACTGTTTTTATGAACGAAAATTAGCAAAAAATTGTTTAAAAAATGGCTGAAAATACCGGTTTTTCACTGAAAAATACAAATTTTCAGAACAAAAAATTTTAAATTTCCTAGGTCACCACTATCATTTCCAGAAGCTTTTGTTATTTTTTTTAGCCAAAAAACCATTCAAAAACTCCAATTTTGACCTGAAAATCGCTTAAAAATGACATGGGCGGCTCCAAAACTTTCGTGTCAATTTACGCTAAACAACGCGCACAAGCGGGATTTCGGAGCAATTTGTTGGGAAAAAAATGAGTGGGAATTTGAAATTTCAATTGAATTTTGCAATTTTTGGCTTCGAAAGCCCGATTTTTCTACGAAATTGTGTGTTTTAGCCAGAAATAACTATTTTTATGAACGAAAGAAAATTGTAAAAAATAACTGAAAATTCCGGTTTTCCACTGAAAAATACAAATTTTCAGAACAAAATTTATTTTGATAAGTTTTAAATTTCCTAGGCCACCACTATCATTTCCAGAAGCCCTCCTGCCATCTCAAGACGAAGACCTTCCCGCGGACCGAGACCAAAAACTGGACCACCTCTACTTCCTAATCCAAATGTGTCGTTCAGTGCTAAACGCCTTCTTGACCCACTCATCCTCAGATGACGTGGCAAAAATCGCGATTCGTCAGTTTAAAGTGATGATGGAGGCTGAGAAAAAGCTAGCAGCAGGGCTAGGCAGTGGTGCCACGTGGCGTGTGCCGAATTTGGAATTCAAAGAGATTACGGTATCGGGTCCGGAGAAGCCCAAAGCTAAGGGAGGAGCTAGAAAACGAAAAAGTGATGAGACTACGATTATTGGAGCAACTGGAGATGATTTATTGGCTCAAGAAGCGGAAGAAGAGGAGGATGAAACAGAGAAAAACGTCCCCAATTTAACACTAAAATCGCATTTCACTTGTCTTCGACTCCGCCCACTTGTTCATATTTTGAAATTGGCCCAGAAGAAAAGAGGGTGCTTGAAGTACCTTTGTGATGAGCTACAAACGGTTTTTGATCACATTGCGCGGTCTAAAAAAAAAGCACCGCCCATGTTGGCTGCTCGAGCCATCACTCAAAAAATCGATGCTTTCTATCATGGCGACGCGGCAAGTGTATGGTTTTGTGTGCGAAAATCGACAGAGCACATTTGGGAAATTGTCGTATCGATGTTTCATTTCTTCTCAACACTAGCAGATGCCAGTCAACAATCCAGTGTTCAAATGCAGAAGGATTTGGAGGAGATGGGAGAGAAGAGCTTGAAATTGATGCATTGTTTGTTGAGGTGCTTTAATAGAAACAATGCTTTTTATCGATTTTCTCTGACCTTGAACACTTTTACACTTCATCCCCCAGTTTTTGCCGGAAAATTGACTCTGGAAACTTGTTTTTTTCTCGAATGTTCGATAATCGCTTTTAGCTGAAAATTGATCTAATATCCAGGAAGAAAACGAATTTTTTTCGCTTAAAACTGGCAAAAACTCGATTTACTTGCATTTTTATCCAATTTCTTGTCGAAAAACCATTCAAAACCGCCTATTTCGACCTGAAAACCGCCCAGAAATGACATGGGCGGCTCTTGTGGTTTTACGCTAAACAACGCGCACTAGCGGGATTTCGGAGCATCGTTGTTGGGAAAAAATGAGTGGGAATTTGAAATTTCAAAATTGAATTTTGCGATTTCAGGCTTAAAAAGCCCGAATTTTCTGCAAAATTGTGTGTTTTAGCATGAATAACTATTTTTATAAACGAAAAATAGCAAAAAATGGGAAAAAAATCGCTAAAAATTCCGGGTGTTCACTGAAAAATACATATTTTCAGAGAAATTTCAAATGTGAATTTCGCATTTTAGGCTGGAAAAAGCAGTTTTATATCGATTTTTTCTAGATTTTTCTGCAAAATTTCAGAAATTTTTCATTTTTTTTTCCAGCGGTGATCTCTATGGAGGTGAGGAGAAGCTGTCGGCCGTCGAGAAAGCCGATCGAAAATCGGTAATTATTCGAATCATCGAAAAGAAGATGTTCGGTCTGGAAAGACTGTCGAATAACGAGGAAGAGGCGAGAATTGAGATTGGGAAGTTTCTGGCGAAATCCGCCGAATTCTCTCCGACACCGGCGGTGGCGGTGGCACTTTTGAACGTTTTCGACGATTTGAAATTGGATGAAGAGGAGCAAGCGGAGACGAGGAAGGTTATGGGTGAGTTTGGAGTTTAGCAGTGGAGCGCGTTTTCGATTTTTTTTTAGAAATTTGAATTTTTCGGAAAAATCGATGATTCGTCGAAATTTTCGCTGTTTTTCGCTCCGAAAAAAAGGAATTTTGCATGAAAAACGGAGGAAAATTGCCTTTGAAACAGAAAAAACATAAAAAATCGTTTTTCAAATGTTGACCTAAAAATTCGATTTTCGATATTTTGATGCTTCGAATTGATTGGCGATAACCCCTATTTTCTCGCATTTTTTTTAATTTTTGAGTGAAAAAACTAGTCAAAGCCCTCTATTTTGACCTAAAAATGGCCAAAAATTGATATGGGCGGCTCCAGAAGATTTACGCTAAACAACGCACACTAGCGGGATTTCGGAGCATCGTTGCCAGAGAAAAAAGTGGGAATTCGAAAACTTTCGCTAATAATTAGGGTTTTCCAAGAAATCTAGCCTAATAAATTGATGAAATTTCGGGAAAAACGAAAATTTAGTAAACGCGCTCTACCTATAAAATTGGAAAATTCACAAAAAAAACTGTTTTTTTTAGCAAAATACGCGCTGGCCTACCTGAAAAAGGATTGGAGCAAAGTAGACGAGCAGTGGAGTCGCGGAACGAAGTACACGAACGCGGTGAAGGATATTCTACAGCATTATATAAATTTGCGACGAGAGAAAGATCAATTGCTGGCGATTCAATGGATTTTAACGAATAAAGTTGTGCAACTGGTACCCGAGGATGATAAGAGGAAATCGTGCGTTTTTTCGCAGCAATCCGACGATGAGATGCTGGAAAAAGAGGACAAAAAAGCGGTGTTCTACTGTATTAGCAAGACGACGTTTGGCGTGATTTTCAAGACTCTTTTTGGATGTCTTAACACCAGATGCCTCAAATACGATATGTCTGGAATTGCAGCCAAAAATCGGCTTGTCGATGAGGATGAAACTCTGGAATCCTGGGAAATTGCATCATCCTGCTTCTTAATCCTTTGTCTGTTCCTTAGAATTAATAAAATCCGAACCACCGCGGTGCTAACCACTGCCATTCGCGAGGGAAAACAGTTTTTGATTACTGTATCTCGAAAGTCTTCGTTCATCTATCTAATGGAGAATATTACGAAGGGAACGAACTTCGATGTGGTTTGTCGAAGAGTCGAGAAGATTCTATCGGCGGTGCAGCAGGGAAATCGAGTCTTGCAGAGTATTGGAACCTATGCGAAGGTTCAGGAATTCAAGAAAATTTGAAATTGTCCAGCGGAGCGCGTTTGCAAAGCGCGAAAATTTGAAAATTTTTGTGATTTTTTGATTTTTTCGAAAATATTTTCAGATCGAAACACACAGGTTTTAGGTGACGACCTAGATTTTTTAGGTCATGACCTAGATTTTTTTAGGTCAAGACCTAGATTTTTTTTAGGTCATGACCCAGATTTTTCTAGGTCATGACCTAGATTTTTTAGGTCATGACCTAGATTTTTTCAGGTCATGACCTGGTTTTTTTGGTCATGACCTAGATTTTCAAGATTTTTTTTGAAAATTCACAAAAAAATTTTTTTTCAATTTGGAGATTTTCAGAGTTTTCAAAAATACCTTATATTCTGAAAATTTTAAAATTTGTTAAAATTTTTTAATACTAATTTTTTTTCGTTTTCAAAATATGCAAAAAATGCCTGAAAATCGCTATTTCAGTAGATTTAAGATTTTTCGAAAAGTTCTGAAATTGCAGAAAAAAGGCTTAAAATATGCAAGAAGGCTCAAAAAATGGCTGTTTTATCGATTTAAATTTTTTTTCATAAATTTAAGAATTTTTCGAAAAAAAATTCTAAACATTTTAATTTTTTTTCAAAACTGAAAATTTTGGCAATCGCGCTCCGCTGGACAATGCGAGTTTTGAACTTTTCAACATAAAAAACCTGAATTTTAAGACACAAAAATGCGTTCATCTCCTGAAACGCTTCCCCGAACTTCGTGCAGAGAACGAGAATTGCCTACGTGTGATACACTCGGCAATGGTCAAAAACGAGTGTTTGAATGCGTTCACAGTGGGTCTAGTGAAGAGCAGATCCATCGACGGAGAGATTATCACGAATCAACCGGACAGTCCAATGGATTCGGATGATGAATAAATAACTTTTTTATTGATTTTTGTTGTTTGAAATTCGCAACCAATTTTTATAAAAACTCCTGTGTCAATAAATATTTTACTTGTATGATTTGATTATATATATATATATATATATATATATATATATATATATATATATATATATATATATATATATATATATATATATATATATATATATATATATATATTTATATTTATATCAAAATGTGTGGAAAAATTCGAAAAATCGCTTCAGAAAGCAAAAAAAAGCAAGTCACCTAAATTTTTTAGGTCATGACCTAGATTTTTTAGACCTCTCCCTAATTAGCATATTTCCAAATTTTCGTTCGAAAATATTCGCTCATTCCCGAGTTACAGCCCATTTTTGCTCATCATTTTCCTCCGTTTTCTCCCCGAGTGGGCGGAGCGTCGCCGACGCAAGGCTGCGGCGCGGAAAATTGCGAATATTTCCTCGAGCCATTTTCTGCTGAAATTTCGGTTTCAGACAGCTAAACACAGAGAAAAACGTGTCGGAAAGTATGGAGGAAGGGGGTTTTGAATATTTTCATCGTGGTACCTAATTTAATTTTACGAATTTTCGCCAGGAAATAGTACAAATTCGGAAAAAGTAAAAAAATTCCGAAATTACTGAGAAATCGAGTTTTTGGCTTCCATTTTTTTTGCCAATTTGGTTTGAATTATTGAAAGGAGCTGTTGAAAAGCCAAAACGATTTCATGGAATATCATTTGTGCGAGGTTGATGTCCCTAGAATCGATACGGGGGCAAATTCAAACGAGGAGGAGGGCAATTACTGACAGCCAGCTGGTGTACGGTAGAGTGTACGGTAGAGCGCATTTGGAAGAGAGGGTACCTTTATTGAAAGGAAGGTAGAAGATCGAGTCTTTTTTGAGAATTATTCACTAATTTTCTCTTCTTTTTCCTTCAATTTGAAACTTATCTCCAATAAAGGAGTCTCTTTCGAATAACTCAAAGGCGAAGACTGGGCTTTTTAGAGATTTCAAAAAAAAACTTTATTATTGAATAGAGAAAAAGCATATTTATGAGCGTATAAACATTACAAATTGAAAGAAGGAGTTTGAAAACATGCTTGAAACTTGAAGTTGGTATGGTAAAGTTTAACACATAATCTTATTAAAACTATGTATAAAAGAAGAGGAGATCACAAAATGATACAATTCAATTTGGTTTATTCCATACTTGAAAACAGAAACATAACTCCAGTTTTCTGTCTGCATGTAGTTCGAAGCTTTCAAATATTGACCCAATCATTCCATCGTTTCTGATCAGATTGCACACGGGTTCTGCGTCTGGTAGCGTTAGTGTCCACTCATCATCAATTTTCCTGAAAAATTCGGAACAATTTATCAAAAAAGCCTTGTTAAAGACTTGTTTATCCTACACTTCCATAGGTCTTCCATCGTTTTCAGCGCTCTTCGTCCAATCCAAATCTCTCAAAACTTCAACAGAAGCCTTTCGAGCATTTAGGAGTGCGAAGGTTTCAATCTCCATAAATTCCAAATTTTGAAGTTTGGATCCCATCTGCCATTCCTTCAAAATAGTATTGATATCCGTTGGTGTCCACTTTGAACCATATGAGAGAATGACAGAATTGGTCCCATTAAGAACAGAGGGTAAAGTGAGCCAAAAGGAATCCCAAACAGAAATGCAACGAAACGGAATTGGTTCTGTGTATTGAAAGTTCTCATCAATTGCAATAGCTTCCAAATCAAAATATCCCGTCCCTTTGAGATTTTTGAAAGTACCATCCAAAGTTTCAACAGAAGTGATAACTCCCTTGCTAATAAAAGCTCGTGGAATTGTTGGTTGAAGGTTGATAATCCATTCGATAAGTGATTCCTCAGAGATACGGACATCATAAATTGGCGAGCGAAATACTTCACAGATGTGCTCAGCCATCTGTTTCAAGTCTTCAATTCCATTATCCTTGAGATATAAAAAATGAACAGTTTGTGGTCCCCTGAAGCTGGTATGAGGACCAGGATATACTGATGACTCCTTTTCTTTATCGTAGTCAATAATCCATTTTAGTCCTGGAGCATCAGGAAGTTTCAACCAAATTTGTGGGCCTTCATCGGACGAAGAAAAATGAATATAAAAAAGATTGGAACGAATGCGTTTAGCCATTGATTTGGCTCGTTTTGAGAGAAGAGAAAAGAGAATTCTGAAAATTACTTTCCTAGTTAAGGCAAAGAGAAAATACTTACATTTCCAATACATCCAAGTTTTCGATACATTCGAGTAGCACTATTTTGGGAAGCTTTAGTAGAGGAAATCGACTTTTTGTTGATTTGCGTTGAATATCAAGATGTCCAAAACGATTCGAAAAAACCATTTCGGCTGCATTAACACTTATTCATGTGGTTTAAGGCTATTTGTAACGCAAACGTATAATCAATAGGTGGACAAATTCGAATAAGGCGGGCAATTACTGACAGCTGGCTGGTTCACGCTAGAGCGCATTTTGACAAGGGGTTCCCTTTTTATAAAAAAAAGGTGGGTTGGCAGGCGGTAGAAGATCGAGTCTCTTTTGTATGTTCGGTTTGTTCTTTTCTTTGTGTGGAATATACAGTTCAAAATGAAACGTTAACCTATGAACCCCGGTATCCCTTATCATCGACTTTTATCTCAAACACCATGCTAGCTAGAAAATTTGACAAACTATGAAATTGCTCAACTTGAGATTTTACACATTTTTGTAATTTTCAAAAATTTTGTAGCGTTTTTAGTTTCCGAGATACAAGCACTGCCCCACGTGGGTTCAGGAGAGGGGGTCAGAAAGCGCGCCCCAGCTAACTCGTAGGCCAGCCGAAATTAATTAATTCAAAATGACACGTGGATTTCACGTGGTTTCTCTAATGTTTTTTAACGATACAGAAGACAATGAATTCGTTTTTTCTTTCGGTTAATACTGATCCTTTTATGTTGCTGTTCCCCTTAAATTGCCCGAGGAAGGGCATGGCAATACATGAAGATTTATTCAGATTCAGGATATGTAACAAGAGAAACAACAATTATTATTAAACCGATGATCCATCCGACTTCTCATAAAACGATGATCCGTCCGACTTCTCATGGGGACAGCTCGTGTCGTTGTTGCCTTCGCAATCGGATGCCGGTTTCTGGTTCATCTGAAAATAGAACGAATTATTGAATAACCTCTAATAAACAATTAATAATTATGGAAGAACCTCAATGCATTTACTCACATGTTTCATGCTCCATCATCGAAGTGATATCCTTCGCTTCGTTGTAAAATCACCGATTTTTTGCCGACAAATGGACGAAGGCAAATGAAGATTAAGTTAACTTCTTCTTGATGTGGAGATCGTTCGAGTGCCCGACTTCTTTTTTCTGCAGTTGCTGGCATGTGGTGGGAAACGATCGTAGCACTTTCTCCAGATCTGCTTGTCGCAGTTGTACTTCTGGGCGAGCTGACAGAGCGATGGCACGAGCCTAGAAAATCAATAAATATTGGAACATTACATATTTCAGTTACTCACCTCAAAAAAATGTCGAAAATCGAGCTTTCTTCCATTCGCTCACTTAACTCATCACTACACGAGGCCGTTGCATTGGACTTTTCACCTTAATAAATAATTTGAAACTTTTTTCAACTAATTTTCATTGAAAAAAAAGGGGAAAAACAAGAAAAAACGAGCGAAAACGAAAGAAAACATCGAAAAAATATTGAAAAAAATATTCGTATTCTCGGCCTAATGCATTAAAGTATGATTGTCAGTCAACGAACTCTCAGCAGCCAATTGAGAATTTTCGAAAAAATTACTGGGGCGCGCTTTCTGACCCCCTCGCCTGAACCCACGTGCTGCCCAAGAAAAGGTGAGAGGGGACGCAGACAGCTAGTAGGTCTGTTTTCTCTGTGTCTCGTTTTTCAAATTTAAAAGCACATATCGATGTTTATACTCATTTTTTCAAAGAGCTTCTAAATGAGTCTAAACACGACCAGTTTTGGAAATTTTCGATTTTTGGGTCTCACTGCGAAAATTCGAAAATTTTCAATTTTTGAAATTTGTTGATCTACCAAAAAGTTTTCAAAAAACCCGCCAATTTTCGACTTTCCTGAATTGTTTTTTTTTCATCATTCTACCTCATTTTTGTCCGTTTTTCTTCGTTTTTCCAGCCACTTTCACCGTTTTTTGTGATTTTTCCATATTTTCAGTTCCCAAAAAGATGGACCAGGACGGAGTTGGAGCTGGCAAACGCACCAAACTTGATGACCAAGATTTCAGAAATCATTTGAGAACACTTTTCAATCAAAGAATCACAATCGAAAAGGCTTATGACGATGTGAATAGTGTGGAGAGTGAGTCCGAGAATTGGACCAAATTATCGAGAATTTCGGAATTGAAAAGAAAAAGTGACTATTCGGATCGAATGAAACAACAATGGAACAATATTTTGGATTTTCTTTTTGCTGGAAGTCATCATATGAAAGTTGGCAAAATTACGGATGTCTATGAGGAATATGCACTGAAATATTTTGATGATCTGCAACATCGAAACAAGAAAAAGATCAAAGATCATGAAGAGATTCTGAATATGTGAGTTTGGGGCTCGGTGGCTTTGAGATCAATTATCTGAGATAATTTATCTCAGTTCCTATATGAAATATCAAAAATGTGTCAACTGATAAGATATTTGTTTGGAAATTTTTTACATTTTATCAGTTATCAAAATGTTTACATTTTTTATGAGTACCGAGATAATTGGTATCAAAGTAAGAGCACAGCGGATAACCCTCCTCCTCTAACAGAAGCTCACCCTATACTTGCCATTTGAGCTCAATTATCTGCTCATAGGAGATATCAAAAATGTGTCAACTAATAAAATATTTGTCTTAATATTTCCTATATTTTATCAGTAAACAAAATTTAGATATCTCTTATAGGAACCGAGATAATTCAGATCAAAGTTTGATTATAAGTGGCGTGCCGCACCTTTACCAGCGGACCGCCGGTGGCGCCATTCCCTTATACAAAGTTTGGGCCCAATTATCCCAATTCCCATTCGAATTATCAAAAATGTGTCAACTGATAAAATATTTGCCTACAAAATTTCTATATTTCATCAGTTACCAAAATTTTGACATCTCCTATGAGTACCGAGATAATTGATATCAAAGTAAGATCACATCGGGTAACCCTCCTCCTCTAACAGAAGCTCACCTGATACTTGCACTTCGAGCTCAATTATCTCGCTTCTTCTGGAAAATATTCAACATTTGTCAACTAATAAAAGATTTGCCTAAAAATTTGCTTCGTTTTATCAGTTGACAAATTTTTGATATCTCTTAAAGGAGCCGAGATAATTGGTGTCAAAGTAAGAGCACAGCGGATAACCCTCTTCCACTAATAGAAGCTCACCCTATACGTTCACTTTGAATCCAGCTATCACGCTCTCCGTGAAAGATGTCAAAATTAAGTTAACAAATAAAATATTTGCCTGAAAATTTCCTATATTTTATCAGGTAGCAAAATGTTGCTATCTCTCATAGAAATCGAGATAATTAAGCTCAAAGTTAGAAGTTAAGCCGCTCTAATACACTGACTTTTCATTTTTGACCCAATTTATCTAGGTTCCTTTCATAGATATTAAAAATTTGTCAACTTGTAAAATATTTCTCAATTTATCAGCTATCTTTTATCTGTTGACAAAATTTTAATATCTATCACAGTAATTGAGATATATGGGATCGAAGTGGAAAGCGATTTGATTTAAAGGTGGGGGGACATGAAAAAAATAACTTTCTCGAAATTCCGTTCAAAGATGCCCCTCGAGGAATTGAACTTGTGAGGACGATGATTGAGGGTACGGCGCCGCTACCGACTGAGCCACGCGGGCAAAGAGAAAGCACACGTCCGATTGCATACATAAAGGCGAGGACGACAGCTGTACGCAGAGTGACATTAAGCGTTGTACACCGTGACTGTAGAATGCATACTCTAGCTACAAAAAAACTACGAAAAATCTCCTATCCCCCCACCTTTAAGAAATTTTTGTAGCCATCTGACATCTATTTTAATTCAGCCTGTTCCACCGCCAACACAGTCAAAAATGCTACGAGGCATCCACCATTTTCCACCTTCAAATCAAAAAGATCAAATTCACAATTGGCTACAAGGACATTTGCATTGAACTCGTCACCGAGGACAAGACTCAAAAAGATAGGCCCACAAAGGTGTTGAAATTGGAATATTGGTGTTTGGGAGAAAAGAAATGTGCAGTGGTCTATGGAAACACTAGATTCACTATGATGAAGTCTTGTGATGAAGCGGCTTCAATGGACCTGTACTTTCTGCTCCAACACCCAAGATTGATTCTCGGAGAGTTGAAATTCTCAGTTGAGCCATACGATTCGGCTTATCCCGGAGTGTTTCCGGATATTTCTGTGTACAGAATGATTCATGGATTATTTCAATTGAATGATCGTAAGATGAATGTCATCAATTTCAACATCATGCTCACCAGAGAGCTTTTGTTCTGTGGAAAAACAACATTTACCAGTGACTCCCTTCCGTTGGACATGCTCTTGGATTTCTTCCAACAAGGCGTTCTTCACAAGATTCGACTTCAAATTTGGAACGATTTTGAGACGACGAAGGGGAATGAGGAGTTTGAAGCGCAGGACAGATTCAAGCAGATTCAGCTGAGTGAGACTATGCTTAATGGATGTAATGCATGGAAGAAGGCGAATATTTTGGATGTTCGTGACGCGCAAATCTGTCAGAATTGGAAGCTTTTCTATCATTTTACAATTTTGAAAGTGGAAAATATGACTGGAGAGATTCTGATGGAGTTTATCAAGGTGAGAGGTGTTTTCTTCTTCAAACTTGCATTTAGACTTTTGAGCCAAGTTATCTTGTTTCCTGTAAGATATATCAAAAAATTGTGATTTTTTGAACTCTAAACTTTTACCAGATGTATCTAGATTCCTGTTAAAGATATCAAAAAGTTATCAACTAACGAAATACTTATCAAGAAACTACAAATATTTTATTAGTGAACATATGTTTTATACCTTCTACAGGAACCGAGATAAATTGGATCAAAGTTAGCAATGCCCCCTGATCTGGGGTTTGCAACTTTCGAAATGTCAACTTGCGCCAAACTTTGACCTAATTTATCTTGATTTTCGTAGAAGATATCAAAAAGTTGTCAACTAACCAAATGTGTATCATTTTACCAGCAATGTTTTGTTAATTTACCACTTATTGATAGCGTTCACGACAACCCAGATAGAAGAGCTCACAGTTAACGATTCCCCTCTGTGCTAGAGGTGCCTGTCAAACTTGAACCATAAACTTTGACGTAATTTATCTAGGTCCTAGTGATAGTTATCGAAAAGTTGTCAATTGATAAAGTGTTTACCATATTTTTATCAACATTTTATCAGTTTACAGATTTTTGATATCTATTGTAGGGACTGAGATAAATTGGCTCAAAGGAAGAGACCCTTTTTTTTACTAATTTATAGCCAATTTTTCAAATCCATGCATTTGGATTGATTTAAAGCAAATGAAATCAATATTATTTTGTGAAAGATCTTAAGTTTAATATTTTAGTTTTTTGATTCATCCAAAATAATGGATTTTGAAGAAAAGTATGGCTCTTTTCCATGAGGCTCATGGCACTAGCCTATTTTCGATATAAAATACTCTTCACCGTGCCAGCGCGATCCCCCCCCCCCTTTTCTATGCAAATTGCTTCGTTCTCCTCCGTGTCTCGGTGGTGCAGTGGTAACGCGCCTGCCTACCAATCTAGAGGTTCTTGGTTCGATCCCTCGGTTGGCATTTTGCTTTTTATGTCTTTTTACCGCCGTTTAACACAAATTTCATTTCCAGGTTCTCAAAGAAAAAGGCGAAGAAGGAAGAGACATCAAAATGCAAGTGGCAAACGCTATCGTTTTGGATCAAATCGCAGTGAAAGTGCTTGAAACTTTCAAAGAGTTAAGTGTGCAAAAAACCGAAGGCTCTTTGAAAATCACATTTGAAACCAATAAGAAGAATCAAGTTTCGATGGATTTCGGATGGCAGGACATTCAAATTGAAATTCGCTAACAACTTTATTTGCTAAATGATGGTCCATATATATTTTTTGGGAATTTATGTTTATTATTTTTTGCCTTGTCCTTTGTCTAATAATATATTTATTTGCAATGCATGGGGGAAATAGATAGATAATTTGGCAAGAAATGGGACCTGTACAAATAAAAAAGTAAAATGACCAGACGGACCGACTAGAGTCCTGTAGGTCAAGTGGGAGGGATCAGAATATCATAAGGAATCGCTCCTACTCGCTTAGCAAATGCCACCGAACTGAGATTAGAATTTATCACCTTACATACACGGTTCCACATAGACAAGTTTCTGTGAAGGAAGCAGTCAAATTGACCGTTGATTTTGAACAAATACGGGGCTCTGTTAGAATGGCTGGGAAGAATGTAGGACGACATAGAGGGAAAATGGTATGAGTTTATAACAAGTTTGTGATAGGTACGAAAAAATAGAAGGGTGCGGCGATGAAGGGTGGTTAGCATAGAGAACTGGGATAGGCGATCGGTGTATGAATTGAAGGGCATATTACATCTCTGAAAGACTTTTCTGGTGAAATAACGAAGAGGAGATTCTAGTTTATTGGCAAGTGTGGCATTGGATGGATCGAAAAGTTCACAACCGTATTCGAGGACCGGTCTAATGTAGGTGTCGAAGAGACGGAAATATAGACAAGGGTTTTTCGATTGGAACGTTCTAAAATTGATTTTTGTCAATAAAATTGAAATTGTCCAGAATTTTTTTAGTTTCAAAAAAATTAAAAAATCGAAATTTTCAAATTTTCAAAAAATTTTTTGAATATTCTAGATTTCTCGAATTTTGCAAGAATTTTTAAATAACTTATTTCAACCCTGAAAATCAATATTTTGAATAAAAACTCTTATCAATTGGTGACTCTACATTTTCGGAGCTCCGAAATGTATGATGCACACTTTTATTTGCTCAATTGGGGAAGGGAAATATGGACTCAACTATATTTAATGATAAGCAAATTTTTGATCAGAATGTCAAAAATTTTCTTATTGATTTTCTTAAATTTTTCAAATTTGTGGAAAACTTGAAATTTTGTTCAATTTTCTGAATTCCTGAAATTTTAAATTCCGGAAAATTTTTGAAAAATATTACGTGATTAAAAAAAAAGAAAAAAATTGGGACAGTTCGAGTACTTGTCAGCTTACGTTGTGCTATGTGGAATCTGAAAAAAAATCTGAAAGTCGGAAAAACTCAAAAAATTTGCTTTAACAAGGGAGTTACTTGAGGGAGCAGGTTTAACTTTTTTTGAAATTTTGAGAGCAGATAGAAGAGCTTATGAGAATTCCAAATCTGTTAAAAAAATCAGCAAAATGCTCACGTGAGCTAAGTTATGACCTAGAAAAGTTTCCCTATGATTAAGCAATTTCTCGTGAAATTTTTTTCATGAAATAGTGTATTTCTTTTAAAACAATAGATTTCAATCAGCAGTGTGGTAAAGTGGTAAAATGGCAAGTTCAGAGGAGGAAGGTTGTAGGTTCGATTCTCCCGATCCCAAAAATTTTGCAAAATTTTTTTTGTTTTATTTTAAGCTGCCATAACTGGCTCTGGAATAAAATTTACGCAATCTAATTATGTTTTTGGGGGGTTTCTCGTTATGAATAGGCATTTTCCAGAATAAAAACAGACATTTAATTTTTGAAGAAATTCACAAATATGCTCGAAGATTTTTCAAAAATTTTTTTTTCAATTTTTTTTTGTTTTTTTTATTGAAAAAACAGTTGAGGATTCTAAACACATCGGTGGCATTCGATGAAAAACTGCTGGAAACATATGTTCTTGGCACAATACGCGCATTTGACCATTGACAATGTTTTGCACCCAGATAATTGGCACTTTCCATAAACGTCGAAGCAATATTGAATTAGTCACATCTGCCAATAAGCTTGGCTCAGCATCTGCAATCAAAAAATGAGGGACGTTTTCAGAAACTTCAGAAACGTTGAT